AAGTCTGCATGAAGAACCATTCAAGACTCAAGTTCATGCTTCAGAAGACTTATAAATAGGAATCTTGTAACTCATAGTTGACAAACTTAGTTAGTCTTTTTCATTTTTTGATTGTGATGTAACAACAGGACCGCAGACCGGAACCTCGACAGAACGACACCTCGACCGGCTCTCCACCTCAGTATACGCCATCACTATTTCTACTTCTGAACTATACGTGGCCTGATTTCTTGATAGCCAAGGATATGTAGGCAACTCAGATACCAGGACTCAGTCACACTCTCCTTTCTCTTAGTTTTTGGTCTCCTTAAATAAGGGTCGGGTAAAAAAAACCTATATAGTCGTTCTTTGTCTGAAAACTCTTCGCATTTCCAATCAAAGAGGAGCAGCTGTAGACATGTGATTTTTGACCCTCCCCGAGATTTCACCCATTTTGGCGTAAAATATTTAGTTTATGCTTAATATCGATATTTCAATTAGTTTTGGTTCTTTCACTTTGTTTTATCAAAAAAATAAAAATTACAAAAAATATTTCTTCTTTTTAGTTGCTTTTACTTTATATACCTTTCGTAAAACTAAAAAATAGTACCTTATTTTATTTTAATATGATATTTGAAAATACCAAAAAAAAAATATGTTTGTTTTAACGATTAGTTTTATCTTAATAGTTATTTTACTTAAGTAGGATTAATTGGCAAATGAGTTCGTATTTTTAGTCTTGTACATAGAGAAAGAATAAAATTTGGGCTCAAACAACCCATTTTAAGCCTAATTTTCGTCCCTAGCCCATAATTCCTAGGTTCATACCCCTTAACCTAAAAAACCTACAAAACTAACCTAAACCTATACACTCTAGGGGCGGACAACCGTTTTGGACAAAAAAAATGAGGAGCTAATTTCCTAACGCCTAAGAGATCCGCCGCAATACACAAAACGAGACCCCCCCACCAGTTCATCTCCTTCTTCACAAACAAAACCCTAGCAAAACTCCATCTCCATATCGTCCATTTCAACACTAGAGACCAAAGGAATCTCTCTTCAGCCAAGAGTCATACCCTCCCATCCGTTCTGCTTCTTCACCATCTTCATTAACAAAAACACATAGAGATTAAAGGAGAAGAAGCAACCGAACGATCCGACCTCACGCCAGCGGCAAAACCTTCACCAACACACCCCTCGTCACCGTTCCTTCTTCTTCACCTCACAGCAGACCGGTTGCTGCTCCTTCACCACCGGAGATGGCCGGAAACCGGCGACAAAATTTTGTTTCGTCAATGGAGTTCATTTAAAGCTCGTGGAGAGTTCGTTTGATGTTGTCGACTGAGTTTCAAGTTCGTTGTTCCATTTAGTGTAACATTTCTGTTGAGATCGAGTCCCTTTAAAGCCCGTTCATAGGTCGCTAGCTCTGTTCGTTGGGTCTGTTCAGTTCCGTCGAGGTTAGAGTGTCGTCCGACGAGATTCCGTTTCATCGTGATCCTGTACTGGTTTCTTATTTGTTCATGGACTCACCTACTCCTTCTAAGGTCCATCTCTATTCCTATTATAGTTACAAATTATATTTTATATGGTTTCTATAAGTGATTATTTTGTATTGTCTGTAAAAGTAAGTTTATTGCATTTGATCCTGAGATTGTAAAGATAAGTTTATTGCATCGTCGCCAATCTTAGTTTACCCATTTTGAGGAAATAAACTAACAAAAGAAGATTGGAATGAACTTTTTCACAAAAGCAGCTTCTTTCATTTTTAAGTAGGTCGTAGTATCATTAATTTGGAATAAGGCTGATAAGCTTGAATTTCTGATTCTCATAATCGAACTATAGTTTTTGTTGTTGTTTAATCAAACTATTGTAATTGTGTACACGTTCGCGTGACATGATTACGATTCTTTTAAAAATAAATTGAGGTATGCGTTCGTGCAACTTTGGTAAAAAAACAATCGTAATAATAACAAAGCGTTATTGATCGTGGACACGTTCGCGTGACATGATTTTTGACGCGCCAAACAAATGGGTACACGTGCGCATGACCCGTTTCAAGATAGTTGCTTAATTAAAAAGGCAAATACACATAGGTTCTAAAATGAGTAATTAGACAATTTGATTAAGCAAGTATGATCAAAGCGACCGTGCTAGAACCACAGAACTCGGGAATGTCTAACACCTTCTCTCGGGTTAACAGAATTCCTTACCCGAATTTCCGTGTTCGCAGACCATAAATAAGAGTCAACTTCCTCGATTCGAAATTTTAAACCGGTGACTTGGGACATCATAAATTATCCCAAGTGGCGACTCTGATCTTAAATAATAATCTCGTTTCAATTGTCACTTAAACTAGAAAAACTCTCTTATATACCCTTTCGGGGTAGTAAAAAAGGAGGTGTGACAAAATACAGTTGAGCAACACATAAAGAAGCAGAAACGGGGAGAATAGAACTATAACTCATGAAACAACCGGCTGGGTCGTTACAACATTATACTTAGTAATCTTATAAAGAATAAGTCATCCACAAACTTGATTTATAATGAGTGATGTCATTAGAGTTGAACTTTGTTAGAGGATGAGGTTATATACAAACTTAACCATATTAAAATGATAGATTACTCTTTAATATATAAATAATATTAACATTTTTCAACATTTATGTTTTGTGACTCCATGTAGTTGCTCATATTTTTTATATTTTGTTTTTATTATTTTTATTTAGTGTAATTGTGCTATTATTCTAGTTTTGAAACCCCTCCTCCTAATATTAGAAATAATGAATCATTAAAAAAAACTTAGCATATAATGAGTGATGTCACTAAAGTAGAATTTCATTGTCTAATGAGGTTATAGACTTATATTTTTATTTTATTATGAATTATATTTATTTAAATTATGTTGAAATTTATTTTATGTTATGTCGTAATTTTGCATAAGAGTATTATATTAATTATTTGGATTTTTAATTTATGTTATATTTTCACTTCTATTTTATTTGCTTTAGTAGAATTCACTTATTATTTTATATTGCAAGCCATTCATTTTTCAGTTAGAATTGATAGATTATTTTTCGTAAAAAAATTGAGTGATGTTATAATATTATATTTATAAATATTTATTTTGTCAGGCGTGCATTACATAATGTTCTTACAAAATATGTACTTTTAATTTTTATAGTTGATTAAAGTAAAATATTATTAATTTCAAACATATATATCAAGTACTTTTACAATATTAGTTACAAATATATGATTAGTGATTAATATATTTTCAAGAAACACTGTATATCTTAAATGTCATATTTAATATTATTTATAAAGGCATATATTTGTTAAATCTTAACTTTTAAATTTTGATAATTAACTTTATATTTCAAATTTAATCTAACAATGTAATTACAGTTGTGCAACCAAACAATACACTTGTAATTACACTATAATGATATTATGACAAACAAATATATCATCGTAATTACAATACCGTATAATTACTAGGCTGTATAATTACTATATAGTAATTACACCAATTCCAATGATGACTTTCCAAACAGACCCCAAAAGAAGAAGATAGAATCTACTTTCGAATATGGAAGGGGTTTTACCAAACCCAACCCTACCAACCAAAAAAAAAAAAGGAGCGGGGAGTTTGTGGATAAAACAACGTTTAATTAGGGGGAAAAGGGTTGACAAATCACTAACATTTTCAGCCCGGGTAATCTAACAAAGTTAATTGTTTTATAGGCGTTTGGCCATAAGTTTTGGAAAAAAAAAAATTCCGAAAAGAGTTTCAAATATGTGTTTATAGAATTAATTTAGTCTTTGGGAAATTTTAAAAATCAAACCTTCAAATCCGAAATATAGCTTAATACCTCTTTTGGGGCCAAATCATGATCATTTGGAACTTTTTAGCTGAATAAAAAATCTTTTTAATATGTCAAAACTTGTCCCAAAATTCAAGTCCAAACATATTTTCAATTTCCGATCAAACTTCAAGTTTTTTTTTTTCAAAAAATATTTGAGAATCTATGTCCAAACGTATCCTTAGGATCTTGGAGTAGAAAAATAAGGTGAAATCTTCAGGTAAAGAAACCATTAAACTCGCATGATGCAGCAGCAAATTAAAGCTAATTATATCACAATTAGAAGATACTTGAGCCAAGCATGAATTTAGAATGATTGGGCTATAATGTTTTCATTTTATGTCGGTTTCGCACTCTCTTTTAAAGTTACCTCCAGGTACATGTCAAAGCCACATACTTATATAATATCATCTGTAATCTCATACAGTATCAATTTATTAGTTTAATTTGACGGTACAAAGTCCCCTCAGAAAGATAATCAATTGACTTTCGAGAAAATAATGAAAATTAAGATCTTTTTTTGTTATTTCTACCGGAGAACTTTTTACCTCCTGTTAATATTTTCTACTATCATTTTGTAACGTTGACCGAGCACTTTCAATATGCAATTATCATACTCCCTCCGTTTCAATTTATGTGAACCTATTTCCTTTTTAGTCCGTGCCAAAAAGAATGACCTCTTTTCCTATTTGGAAAGAATTTACCTTTATGCAATGATTTATAGCCACACAAAATATATGTGCTTCATTTTACACCACAAGTTCAAAAGTCTTCTCTCTTTTCTTAAACTCTGTGCCAGTCAAATGAGTTCACATAAATTGAGACGGAGGAATTATATTTTTTGTTTGGTTTCCTGCCCGATGTTCCATATGTGCATTAGCGCCTCGACTAATCTGAATTCACACATGCTAAGACTCGTAGAAAGAGAGAACACTTGCTACCAGGAATCCATACCCCCATACTTATTTCGAGAAGAGTCTGTGGTACCCTTTTAACCAGGACATTTAATTCCCAGGCATATTTGTTTCTATAAATAGGTCCCCCGCCGCTGCTAGTCCTAAATAGGGTAGTCCACCACAAATAATTATATTTCCGCAACCCCAAAAATAGCCCTACCACAACTCTTTCTGCATTAAACACCAACCACAATCNGCTTTTCATTCCGCAAATCCTTCCTGTTTATAGTGTATTGAATCAAAAGCGGAACTACGATTACGCATTTAATTTTTTTAGACCTGTTGGTAAATTTTTACATATAAATTTATGGCGGATGAAGAGACTAGTGTGAGATTGTTGACAGAAGATAGAGAGCACAGATGATGACATGCTGCTAAATCTGGGATTGGAAGGCACCTGCAAAAAAGCATCTCAATTCATTTGTGCTCTCTATGCTTCCGTCATCACCTTCACCATTCTTTCTCCCTTTTCTTCAAAATTATCTCATAATTTAGGTTTTCTTATTGGGGATATTTCTTGCAAAAACAAACTTCTATAAAAGGAAAGAAATCGGATGGTGGGGACATGATTCACATAACCGAGTGCTACTTTTTGCAGTACTCCTCTTTTGTTGTGCAGCTTTTGTACAGAAGATCTGAGATTGATATTTTATGTATTCACAAGATTAGCGCTAAGCATAGAATAATGTCCAGATTGACGGTTTTCACTTGATTTGTAAGATATATATATATATATATATACTCCTGAATTTCTATGCTTTAACAAGTTATCAACTCTAAAATTTACTCAGCTAATGTTATAAATCTATATGCTTATCTCAATTTTGTGCCGTTGCAGCTTCTCCTTTAACAGATCAGTGGATCTCTCTAGTCCTATGCCATGTACCTGAAGAGAAACGTCTGATGCTATGAAGCTACAATTACATGTAATCCCCTCTCTTCTCTCTCCCTATCTCTTTCTGTGTATTTGTATATTACCGCAGGTAATTATTGTTTAGTAATTCACCAAGTAGATATTAGTCAGTAATCCATAGAAAGCATGGGTTTGAGCTAGTTTGACGACTACGTTGGGTTTAAGCAAAGAGGAGTAATTAAGCTTGAAATATAACTTTGGCACCCTAGTTAATTACTTGTGCAAGTTCCAGATGAATACGATTAGGTACATTGCGGTGAAGAAAGGAGTGTCAAAGCTTATCATCAAGGGTTGTGGTGAGTATGAATTTTTTTTTTTTGGTAGGGGGAGCGGTTCCTTTTTTAATGGATCTTACGCAATACAAAATCGAATTAGCTAGAATCCAAAAGCGGGTACCGAACACCGGATAGAAAGACAAAAAATAAGTGTCAAGAGTAAAAGCACTTCAGTATGTTTGATATCCGAAAGTTTAAATCAAAAGAAGCTGATGCCCAAAAAAAGCTGCAATTATAGAGTTCTCTTCAGCAACATTGATGGGATAATTATAGGAGTGGATCCAGTAGTTTTGGCCTAGACAACCTCTATTTGCGTTAAAAATTTATTTAATATGCATAAATAATTTATTCAAAATTTAGTAAGCTGTCTTTTTTAAAATACAAACTCATAAACTCAAAATCCTAAACTGTTCAAGGGCATAATCTTATTTGTCTTGGGATGTCTACGCAATCACTCTCCCAGGGGCTAAAAATAGAATCAGCAATTTGCATCATTAACAAAAAGTAAATATATAGTGTGTGCGTTATTTCTCCCTAGAAATGTAGAAATGAACTAGCCGCCAAAAATTGTTTATTTTAAAAAATACTTTTATTCAAAAATGCTTTGTAAAAAAGTACTTTTGCAAAATAACAGTTTGTGTTTGGTCTGAATGATGCTTTTTGCAAGCTTATTGTGTTTGGCCATCTTTTTAAAAAATACTTTTATGTATCAAAAAACTAACAATAAATATTTAATTTGCGATTAGTATTATTTTAAAAAGAAAAATAAATTTAAATACTTATTATATAAGAGTTTAATTAAAATACAAAATGTAAAGTAAAAATATAAATTAATATAAAATATAGTTATTCCAAAGCAATAACATTGAGTGTTTGGTATTACTTATTGTTTACATGATAATTTAAATATGTCAAAATATATCATTCAGCATAAATTTGAAATATACTATTAGGAATAGGAGAAAGAGAATAAATATATGATTAAAATAAAAAGGAGAAGAGATGTGTATAGAAATAAAAAGAAAAAGGAAAAGAAAAATGTTAGATTAATGAGGGATAATTTATAAAATACAAATTTATTGTAAGTCTTTTTGTCTTGAACAAATTAATTTTCTGCTTCTGCTTTTTGGAAGAAGCTAGAATCTGTAGCTTCTCTGCAAAAGCAGAAAAACTGCTTCTGCTGTTGCTTAGAAGTACTTTTTTATTTTGGCCAAACACCTTAAATTTTTCAAAAAAATACTTTTTTGACCCCAAAAAATTACTTTTGGCCTCCCAGAAACTTGACCAAACAGGCTCTTAACTTCTCACCTGATGTTCGGTATCTGCTTTGCGACTGCTACTTTGAAGCCTGAGTAATCAAGATTCGCATCAGAAATTAACTTCAATTTTAGGCGATAAAGCGCTCCCTACCAAATGGTAACTTCATATCCGACTCAAAACTCAAACATCTGGTTAAGGACTAAAAAGTACTTACCACATCACCACAACCATTACAACCATTGGTGGTCTCTCTTAGAGTTTAATTTCATCTAGTGCTTTAGTGTATATTGATTGTACTATTAATATAGAGTTTTCTTTGGAGTTTCTGCCAGTTTCTGTTCTAAATATTATATATTCAGATAGACAAAGAATCAACTTTATTGCCACTTTGCCATCCACTCTCATTCAAATAGAAGAAGATTTCAACTTTTTAGCTTGATATTTATGTCCAAACTAAAAGAGATACCTAACTATATATGCTAATATATATCAAATCGGTAAATACATATATGATGCAAATTTAATGTTTTTGTGCCATCTGCATAATGGTGTATTGTGGATCGGGCCTGAACCGGACCGGATCGGGCCCGCGGTCCTAACGGGCCTGGTGGGTCGGTCCTCGTGGGCCGGTCTTAACGGGTATTTAAAGCTTGTGGCGGGCCGGTCTTCCTAGAAAGCACACGAGCCCGGGACCGGCTGTCGGGCCTGGGCCGGGCCTAACGGCTAGTTTTTATTATAAAAAAAAATTCCAAGTCAAAATTTAAAAAGTAGCCGTTTGGGCTGCAATTTTGACCGTTTGGATGTTTAGAAAATAG